ATCTGTCCGCCCGTTTCTTTTCCAACACACCTGCATTCCCCAGAGAAAAGATCCATATATGGTCTGCGAGTGCACAAGGCCATCTCTCACCTGTGGGATGAGGTAACAAGTGAAATGGAAGATACTGAAAGCCTGTATCTGGGTAGACTGATGTAGCGTGGGGTGTCTGCGGGCTCTGGGCGCCACTTCAGGGAAGAGGCAAGACGAGTAGTTAACCAGATGACAATGGGCAGCATTGGTATGGAGACTGCTGGCTGTTGAGGAGGGAGGCAGAGTTCATTTGGGCTTGTCCTGAATACTGTGATGTCTAATCTCTACCCGGATGTTGTTCGCTATAGTGCGCTTCAAAACTCGTGCCCTCAAACTCTAACAAATAGCTCAAAAACTTCTGTATGGATCAACACAAATTTTGCATGTGGCCTTAGCTCTTATGATTTACTTTACAACTGCATAGGTGCTGCTGTTTTCTTAAAGCAACGAAAACTGTTTTGATCTTTGTTTGACTAATAATTTTTATACCCATTCAAAATATAATATACAGTAATTGACACACCCCTGGAGATTTTTTGGAAATCTTTTTACGTGTGCAGTGATGCATGGTGATTCTTTTGTCATGGTCTATCATACAAGTTTTAAAAAAAAAAACATGCACCACTCATGGCAGACTAATTCTGGAGATGACTCTCTGGGAGTGAGAGGCAATGTTTTAAAAAGTTCCCTTCAGACAGTTAACTGTAGGCATGCTGACTGTACTTTGAATCTTGTCTTTTCATACACCGCAAATAAGGCACAATTAAAACTGGAGATCTGTTTACATTAAAACTTTTCTTACAAGGACATGATTATTATTCAACAATTTACACCAAACCATTACTGAGTTACAAATGTTTTTAAGTTGGGCACAAAGTCTGGAACGTACTACAGTCAATCTTATCACTTAACGTGACCCACGTATTTTTTTCTTTCGGCAACTCTATGCTAGAACATCTTGTCAGTCAGATGTTTCATTAAAACACCTGTTCCTGCTTGTATGTCCCACTTTTTAGGGGGGTGTTCACAGCTGCCCACAATCGTTCATTTAGCCACATCTTGGTTTTGATACCTTGCATTTTTCGGCTCTCCTCCGAACGGCATCATAATATGGCGGCCATAAAATATCCTAAAATATCCAAATGGGGCTCAGTTCTATTAAGATTATGCCGGCTCCGTAAAACGAAACAAATGTTCTGACAGGGTCTCAGCGATATGTTACTTGCGGACCTGTTTCTGTGACTGTGCCTCACCGGCGACTTTATCCCCCTCGCTGATGGGGGCTAAACTAGATGGCTGGGACTCACGAGCAGCAGCTACCGCATCTCCTGCAACTTCCTCCAACTAATTTGCTTGTGAGTCCCAGGCACCTAGTTTAGCCCCCATCCGCACCGCGCATAGGGGGGATACGCTCGGCGGTAAGTTTAATCGCGTTCTGTGCATGCCGAAAAGTGTGAGGATACAGGTCGGCAGGTCTGATATCTACCGCTGCTAAATCCTCAATCGGACGAACAGTATTGCTAATCTACGTGGGAGCGCATGGTACCCGCCATATCGCTTTCATCGTATGTAATGTCTCGAAATAGTCAACGGTCGCTAATATCGTCTGCAGAAGCGCTCAAAATTGTCAACGGTCGGTATTTATCGTCTGCTACTACTGTGTGCAATGTTGATATTGTCAAGTAATTCTAGTTTTGCCGCGATTTGTTCCTTGGCAGAATGTCCTTATTTTAGATATGTCTAAGCCCCATTCTGATATTTTATGGCCACCTTAATATTATGATGCCGTTCGGAGGAGAGCCCAATTTTCTTGGTGTGATCAATTCTGGTTAACTATTTATGTTTTTCATTGCCTCTGGCCACTTCAGTCTTTGACTTGCCAGCAGTCATTGTTTGTATGCCAGAAAAACCTTAACCAATTCTGGCACCACCAGTTTCTTAGAAACTGGAGGATTACAGTGAAAACAAAAGCTAATAAACATGAATCCTCAAGTAAGGAAAAAAAAAGAACAATACATCTGATTAAAATGTAAGAAGTAATCTTTTAAATATCTCATTCCTGTTATTACAGTTCACATATTTATGAAATATAAAACTGACAGAAAACATATCAACAAGCATTAAAAGTAAACCTGTATAAAATTCTGAAATGACTGAGTGTGTGTCAACTCTGTGCTAGAAACGTACACGTACTTAACACAGGGCGACAAAGAGATCAGGTATTTATCAGTTTGTTGTAACGTATGGGATGAAAACACATTTTAAACAAGAAACAACTAGGGGGCACAATTTGCAGAAACAATTTAAAAAAAAAACATATTTAGAGAGAGCAGACTGCAGAAAGAGTGGGCTTCAAATGAAAACCTTAATGCCTGTTAATGCTGCTGAAGTTAAGGCTGTCAACAGTGATAAGCACCAATAAATTTCCATAGGTTTAACTCCTTTACTGAAGGAGTTACGGGGGGTGGGGGTGGGGGGTGGGGGGGGGGATCTGGCCGAACACTCAAGGAAAAGGTGAGATGGATATACAATCAGACAGTTACTGGTGCCACTGGAAATGGAACTTGTCGTTTGCTGCTGAAGATGGGCACACAGCACTATTGAGTGTGTCCTGAGTGCTATGATGTCGATTCTTAATTCAACTTCTTCAGTGATTTAAAAAAAACCAGATATACAGTATGCTGCTCCTCTTTGGTGTATGATAAAAGTGGGGTGGTAATCTTTAAACATTCAATATGATGTCACTATGTTCGTCTGTGCCATGATGTCATGTGCTTACCACTTATGACATTCTTAACAACAATATTGCCAAATTACAAGACAATGACACGGTGGTCAGAATTTATATCATACCTTGAAGGGTTTTCAATCCCCCTCCCCATGCAGACAATTTAACAAATATGCATACATTTATATGTGTATAATTTTATAAAAATATATGTCATATGTGGTGGCTAAAATATTTATTTTCCTTGAAATGTTATTTACAAACTACTTTCAAGCTCTGTTGATGGAGACAGACTATCTCTACAAACAGCTGTAAGTCATTCTCAGTATACAATGAATTACATCAGTAATATGAAATAACTCATTTGCCAACAGCCACCATAAACAGTTACAATAACTGTGTTTCAATCACTATGCTAAATCAATTAACTGTTTACTTGCCAAACACAGTATATTGAGAACCTGGATTGTGATCCCATTTATCTGTCTACTCATCCATCCAAATTATTCATCTACCTACATGCCTATCTATCTGCCTGGTTGCATCTACTTTTTTCCGTCCATTGATCTACAACAAAAGGCAGGGCCATTTTGTTACCACCACTTTTGCTAAAAGAAATGCCATAAGGATTCCCCACCACCTTTTTTTTTAAAGTTACCGTTTTCATTTTCCAGACATTTTAAACACTGCACAGGCACACATAGAACCAATGATATTTAACTCTTTGAGTCCCAAGGAACGCATCCTACGTTAATAGATTCCTACCTAGAGGCCCAATGAAAGCATGATGCGCCGATTTTACGTCTCTCTTGACTACCCCTTGGGCCTGGGATGCTAAACCCCTGGGACTCAAAGAGTTAGGTATGCCTTTGGAGAACAGGCCACTGAAGACAAGCTGATTTATCGGTATTTAAGGAACTGTGTCACAACCGGAAAGTGATTGGCTTTAGTCTTCTTGGGGTGACAGGTTAAATTATTTATTATCTATCTTCGTACTACACTTCCTATGTATTTGCCCATCCCTCCTCATAAAATAAGACATATGGCAAGTATGTATAATCACACTACCATCTTGACTTTCTCACACCAATAACAAAAGTAGATATTAAAATAGCCTGAAAAGATACAAAATTACACACTCCTAAAAGAAACAGTGATTAACTCTGACCTCACACGGTTAAATGCAGTGTGATTTATTGTTGTTTACAGAGAATGTCCAACAATATAAAATACAATATACATTAAACTGTATTTATCAATATAAAAATTGTAGCAAGTTGAAATATTGCATATAAACATGTGAAACAACAAGTGGAGATGAAGTCAGCAAATATGATAAATACAGTAAACAAGATCCATTAAATGAAACAAATGTCAGCCACAAAGAAGCATAAATAAAGTAAGACATGTAAGGATTTAGTGGAAGCTCTGTTGTGCGTAGAGTTACCGTTCTCTTTGTCTCAGGATATGAAGGTGTTGTTAGCATTGAAATGCCTCAGTCGCAGATGGGCGGCCCATGGAACATGCTGACACTGTTCATGCAATAGCGAGATCAAATTATCAGAGGATTTATGGAGCAGTGTGTCCACATCACAGCTAAGAATGCGAGAATTGGGAGTAAAGATCGGAACAGCCAAGCATGAGAGGAACACTGGACGTACAAGAAGTCTCGTCGACAGCATTGGACTGGCACTATTAACCACATAATGATTACGTTTATGTCCAAAGGGGGAACCTGGGCAACTATAGACATATCCGGACAATAACCAAACTCATAACTCAGAATATTTGTAGACACTGTAAAGCAGAAGGTTTGATGGATATAACAAAATCTGGGGATAGAACACACATCCCATCTGCTACCAATGAATCTTTCCAATTATCACAATGTTTTCTAATGCCCATCTTCTCATTATTTAAAAAAAAACAGTTTACCTTCGAGACATGTATAATGTTGCACTTGCATAAGCATTCTCTGGGCAATCGTTCTTAATTAATCTGGTTGCTATGGTATTCACTAGAAAGCGGACAATAAAATCTCATTCAAATAATGAGAAAACATCTGGTAAAAGTAAATAAAGGATACTGGAGATACCTTTTGAGAGCCCAGAGAATAAATCTTTCTAGGCCTTTAAAAAAAAAATATGAGTTGAACAATTTTGAAACATGAGAGCAACAAATGAGATAACAAGGAATTATACAAAAGGGGATCTCCGACTGCTGCTGCTAGTTCCTGCTTTTCTCACAACCACGGCACGGACCAGTTCAAGAAATTAAGGCACACTTCATAGCCAAGGAAACATGCCTGTAAACATAAAAATAATCACATCAATAGGCACACAGATGACTAAGGCAGCCATAACATTTATATGACATACGAGCTGCCGTGAGGTAGTGGCTAGACGCTCACCTGTAGATCTGAAGGTCATGGATTCAAATCCACATGGGGCCAGATTTTTTTTTCAGATATGACCTTGGCTGTCAGGGTGACCGAGCCTTACACAGGTACTAGGTAAAGTCCTGTGGGCTAGCGTATCACCTGTCAAATGGTTTATAAAAATAAGTCTAGCCTGATGTGCCACTGGTGTGTGAAGGAGCCTTTACACATGACATCATCACCACCACATGGCAAACAATCGACTTCAACAGGTATGGTTTGACATTCACACAATTAAGAAGACTCAAATCAACTCTTGTTGTTCTTGTCCTGATATAAATGTGGCCAAGCAATCCAGGTGTTTATCCCCCATCTATCCTCTGTTCTTTTACCATCAAATTTGTCAGTTTTCACAAGTTTCTAGCCATACAATTTTTTATATCATGTTCAAATTAGGAGTTTTCTTCTGGCAGTATGCAGTGGTAAGCAGTATCCATATTTTTTTTTGTTTGCCATCATGCTTTCAACACTATTGTATTTGACAGACAATTAGTAGTGAGTACCAGAGTAACAGAACCTGATTTAAAGGCACTCTGGTGAGTAGTGGCACCTCTTTTCTAGTAAAGAAACCATAGTTCATAGAATCCAGAACATCTACATCTAATTTCTCCATTTAATATTGAGCACATAACACTGAATGAATATAACAATTACTCAATCTTCAGGATTTAAAACAAAATCTGAGTTTCCTAATCCTGAACACAGAAAAAAAAAAGAATGTAACTGCCCCCCCCCCCCCCCCCCCAAACCTGCCTGTATTTGACCAATGTTTGGGGTGTAGGTCTTTGAGCCTGAGAATTTAGGGCCACATAGCTGGCGCTGTCATGGACTGTGCAGGCTAAGGTTTATCTCCCACCCCCCCCCCCCCCCCCCCCCCCCCCCCCCCCCCCCCCCCCCCCCCCCCCCCCCCCCCCCCCCCCCCCCCCCCCCCCCCCCCCCCCCCCCCCCCCCCCCCCCCCCCCCCCCCCCCCCCCCCCCCCCCCCCCCCCCCCCCCACAGAGAAAACCTATAACCTAACCAAGGATTTGAACCTGGGACTCCTGCATGATAGCTCGGGTTTACTTCACCAGCCACACCCCTAAAAGAATCTAATAAGGTAACCTGGAACAAACAATACGATAGGAATGAGACAAATGTACGTACTGCATTAGCTGGGAAGGCTCTCAACATAATTGGAGTAAAGCCTTTGTATAAACTCATCACTCCCTCATCCTTAATGATGTGCCTAATTACGTCACGGATGCCGTTGGGGTAAGTTCCATGAGGAGCTGCAGAGAAAAAGTTTAATTTCATTAGCTATTCTTTACCTTCTTGTTACAAACAAAAATAAACTGAACTTAAACAAGTATTCTATTTTGTCATATGCTATGTGTAATGTACTCTTAATGCTTCAGAAATTGCAACAAGCAGCTTCAGATCGGATGTCGCACTTAACTTCCACTACCTGGATCTGTACACCTGGCATGCCAGTGTAAAAGTAATGAGCGAGAGGACGAAATGACAGGTATTCCACCACTGCCTGCTAGAAGATGGACAGGCAGAGCTGACATAGTCTACACTTTTTAGACTAGGCTGCCAGATGAGGAATTTATCAGGCTAACCCAATTGCATGACTCTGGCATGTCAGTGCCATTCTATAAGGCCAAGATGGGAGACATTTTAACCAACTTCCCCTGGGAACAGTTAGTAAAGGAACCTTGGTGTGGCTGCTGTATCAGAGGATTGAGCACGCACATAGGTATGCCCAATATGCAGTTTCATTGATTGTGACAGCATAACATAACCCTTTATGCCTTTTCATCGGAATCCTCAGTGTTCAAGAAATCAAGAAGGGGGAGAATGTATAGGGAAGGGAATCAGAGACAGAAGTTTTTTGCTTTAGGTGCTCTGACTACACAACCAGAAGAACCAAAAAGTGATGCAAAAACAACATTAGGTGTGCAAAATAAACAAACCAAAAAAAAAAAAACTGTCACAACAAAGGTGAAACATCCGGCCTTGGATAAAAGACCCCCCTCCCCTCCATTCTATGCTCTTGGCAATACCATTTCTTTAATAAATTTCTATGAGAGCTAGATAACATGACATAATCATGAGAGCCGCGTTAGCGCAGTTGATAGGAGTCTTGCTTTCAAATCCAGCTGCGACTAGCCGCAGCCACGGTCGGTGTTCGAAACCAGGTGGTTCCCAGGGTTCACTCAGCCTCTAGGAAATGGGTACCAGAGGTGAATGGAGGAACGTCGCTGTAGCTACAGAGTTACGTGCGGACAGCGACACAGGCGGCCAGTTACTTATCAGCTGTCCATACTGGTGGCACAGCACTTATGGTTTATAACCATGTGCAATGACGCTGGTTTATATCTCCAGACTTTACCCGACTTTCTTTATTTTAGATAACATGAACACTGAAAAAACAACAACTAATGACACAGACCTGTCTGCAGCCTTGACTTCAGCACATCTGGAGGTACAGCCACCAGCCAGTTAGCAATCCCAGCCATCCCCCCAGCAAACAGTGTCCGTCCTATACTCATCTCGGAGCGACTGAAAAGTCAATAAATATTTTAACAATAAAATGAGAAACAGTCAAAGTCAGATACACCCAGTCTGTCCCTTTTTTTATAAATGATGTCTTTCAATGTCATCTGTGACATTTAAGACCCATACTGTAAAGTCAAAATGATATTACACCTTCTCCTTGACTTACAACCCATCTGGCTTATGATTACCTACACTTACGACCACACACACAAAATTTAAAAAATATTTAAAAGAGAATAAAAAGAGTTAATAAACAAGCTTACATTGGTGGGGTCAAAAAGTTCCCAGAACTGATGCAACAGAGTGAATATTATGTATTTTTCATATTACGTACAGTAATTATGCGTACATGGGTTGGATTTTTATGCGTTTTATGTAAAAAAAAAAAAAATATTATAACACGTTTGAATGAAAATTTTGTTGAAATATATAAATTATGACAAGCAACTTGTGCTCTGTTAGTCAGAATGGAACTTGGTCATTCAGTCAAGGAGATCCTGTATGAGCATAACACATCCCGGCATAAGTCTGGGACTCTACAGTGGTGGGGGTGAGAGGAGATGTGGTTAACAGACCCACTGTCCTTATAGTCAGAGGTTTGCTAACATCAGATGCGTTGTGCTGAAAGGTGCAGATTTCACAGCCTAACAGTTAACCACAAAGTACCAATCACCCTTTTAAGTGTGAATACAGAATAAGATAGATAAATGTCTAGGCTATGAAACTTGGAATCTGCATAAGAACAGCAAATCTGTAGTTTTACTTTAGATTCAAGCATAGAAGTTTCCCAGTTGAAGGCAAATGCTTGAGCTATAAGCCAGTCATCACCCAAAAGTCAATAAAACCATTACCAAGTGAGCATCAATCCATCTAACAGAAATCATTTGAGTTTGTCCCATCTGGGCTGCTATCTTAAGGTTTCCCATACAATCCTAATCCAAATGACAGACTAGACAGAACTCCAATATCCTGTTCAACCTCGAAAGACGTTATAATTAGGTCACCCTTAATGGCGACACCAGTTGGTTTAACCTACAGACCTACTCCAGGTGAGGACAATCCAACAGGAAGCTCAGACTTCCATTTTATAAACAAAAAGGTCAAGGATACTTGTCCATGATATGTGGCTTCTTAATGAGTATATGGTGCTACTCTCATTTGTAACCCAACTGGAACACTGTGGGTTATGGGATCATCATCATCATCACCACCCTGGCTGCCTAGGCTCCTAAAAAAAATGACCTGGTATCTATTTTAGACCACATACCCATGGGTCAGTAAGTTTCCTATTAGCAAACCTCAATGAAAAGAAATAGCACACACTTCTTCTCGTCTTCCACTTATGTCAATGAGATCTTGTGGAAGATGTAAGGATATTCTTCTGTGTGCTTTTTCTAAAGTTCTATAAGGTGGCCCATAAGTTTCCATGCGCAAGAACAATAAACATATCACTGACGCCATTACAAGCATAACTGCAGCTGTGCTTAGACATAATCTGATATAGATAAAAATGGTTATTATTAAAAAAATTTTAATATTCTCCTGTGTATGGAAACTTACGCGACTCCCTAAATGAAAACTGTCTTCATCTCTCTAAGGTTGTTCTTGATGTTGCCCCATTTTGTTGTGGTCTTCTCCTTGCCCTGTCCCTTTATCTTTCTCCAGCCTGGCCCTCTAGTTTGTACCAGGGCTTTCTCAACAGATGGCCAAACCTTTTCATCTACTGGTCTGTAATGAACTATAAAACTTGTCTGTATTTTTAATTTCACTTTTTCTTGTAGCAAATACAGTTAATAAAATCCATCTGATTTTTTTTCTTCTTCTTTGTTCAGCGGCTGATGTGCTACAGCTAGGCAGCAATATCTACAACTTTTGGTCAACACATCTCCCCAAAAAACAAAACCATCGTATGGAATGCTGAAATCTAACCAGTAACGAAACTTACTCATGTCCTTCTGGAGTCAGAACTCGCTGCAGCCACTCGTAGCTGGTGAAATACATTCCTGTAGCTGGTATATCCCTGAGGAAAGTGGCCATGGTGCCTCTGTAGATGCTCCTGATGCCTCCTTCCTTGTACAGTTGCCTCACACAGTCAACAGGGCCTTTGTATTTTCTATCAGCAACACTGGCTTCTTGCTGAATCTGTACAAAGGAACCACAAGACATAATTAGTGAACAGATGCACTACAACACATAACTAGTGAACAGATGCACCAGACACACAATGGAATGGAATGTCATTTCCAAAACAAAAAGCAGAGACACATCGATTGTTTCTTGGGCAGAACAGGGAAGGAGCAGATGGCGTTTACCAGTGAACATGCATGGATGTGGGAAAAATTTGACAGTTGGCTTTGCTTGATTGTTTGTGTTGCACTGTCATGTGTGCCTCTATAAACAAGTGTTGTGTAGCTTAGAATTACCATGATGTTATTAAGGGGCCAGTTCCTCATTTGTCATTAGATGAATTAGACTAACACCAAACATCGTTTACTTTGTGGTTATGTGTTGATATAGCCAGTGACGATAGACGTCCTTAACTTAGAAAAACTAGAACTAAGAGTCAGGACAAAGGGCTGTGATTTGCATGCTGCCCTGTAGTACAATATAACAGTATTATCTGGGAAGAAGGAAGGATGCCAACAACAGTTCATAGTGTCAAAATAAAGGGACACCAAACATACATGGAGAAAGGAATGAAAGAAAGACAGTCCTGGATTCAGGCGTAAGCTAAAGCGTAGGGCCACACAATATGTAGGAGGCTTGCAAAATTCTCTTTATTTTTTCCAAAATTATTTCATTTAACCTTTTTTTTTAATTCTCCAAAAATGTTGCCAGTTTATTTATACTATTATGGGTATATTGCCTCAGGCTTTTATTTATTCTTACTTGTTGTAGCCTACTGATATTGAATAAAATAATCAGCCTGATATGCATCAACATTCATCTTGTATTTCTTCTTTTGCCTTTCTAGCCCCCTATGGAGCATAGGCCCTCAATCAACTCAAGCCAAGTTGTTCTATAACTTGCAGCTCTCCCTCTATTTCTAACTTCATTCTCCATGTGTTCTTTGGCCTTCCTTTATTCCTATGCCCCTCTGGGTTCCAGTGCAAAGACATTCTAGTTATATTGTTCTCCGGTTTGCTCAATGTCTCCTATCCAACGCCAGTGTCTTTTTTTCACCTCTTCCACTGGAGCTTGCTTAGTTCTCTCCCAAAACTCTACATTAGTGATTCTATCATACCATTTAATTTCCTCTATTCTGCGAAGGCACCATTTAATGAATGCCTGTAGTTCATTAGCAATTGCCTTAGTTATTCTCTATGTTTCCACTCCATACAAAAGTACTGATTTGCTATTGGAATAAAAAATTTCAAGTTTGGTATTTCTTTTGACCTCCACAAATTCCCTAGTGCTATGAAAGCTCCTCTTGTCTGTTGTATTCTTATTTTAATATCTCTATCAGTTCCTCCATTTTATCTGCATCACTGCCTAAATAGGTGTACGACTCCGTGTCTTGGAGTGGGGTGAAATTAAGAGAAACCATATTAATATTTGATTTTTTCTCATTTATCTTTGTCTTTCCTTTATGGATGTTCAGATCTAGTTGCTGTGATCTTGTATCAAGTATATTTAATCTATCTTGCATCTGATTCCGTGAATGGGACAGAAGAGAAATATCAGCAACAAAGTCCAGATCGTCAGGCTGTTTTGTGGGGGTCCAGTGAATTCCATTCTTGGTGTTAGCAGTTGTTGTCTTCATAACCCAATCTACAGCCAGTAAAAATAGGAGAGGCGACAAAAGACATCCCTGTTGTATACCTGTTTTTATTTCAAATGTATCTGTTAGCTTTCCCTCATGAAGAACTCGACATTCATGCCTTTACTAAGTTAATAATTTTCTGTGGGATTCCATAGTGCCCCATCAATTTCTAGAGAGAATGATCTTGTATGAACTCACATATATGTTTAAAGTTTTCCGAGATTAACTAGTATAATTTAAAAGGGAAGGGGCTTCAGGGTCTTATATAGGTTAGGGCAAACCTATTCAACTGGCGACCTGCGGACCAGATTTGGCCCACGGATGATGCCTGTTGTATTGAACGTCTTTCTATGCTGTGACTCATCATCATCATATAGCAGGTCCTTTGCAGAACGGCGCTCTCATCACAGTCTGCCTGTAAGAAACTCGGTCTCTTGCCAGTTCTCCCGCCTCATGAACTTTCACACTCAAGGAGTCACTTATATCCTGTGCCCATCTTCGTGTCGGTCGGCCTCTGCCCCTCCTTCCTGGTACCATGCCTTCTGCTATAATTTTTTTTCCAATCCGTCATGGCGCTTGATATGACCAAAATATTTCAGCTTTCGAGAAAGGATGCTGTTTATTAGCCAATCTTCCTTGATGTTCAGATCTTTTAAGATGTCAATATTTCTCATCTTCTTTGTCCAAGATATTCTGAGAATCTTTCTATAGCATTTCAGCTCAAAAGCCCCTATTCTCTTTCTTAAGGACTGTGATGATCACTAGTTTTAAATTTTTTTGCCCCTGAGTAAACTGGGTTGAATAGCGCTGGCTTAGGGTATCATTAAGTCTAAATCCGCTCTGGAGAAAGAGAACAGGCAAACAAACTTTTTTTTTCAAAGGGTCACAAACTGGGCAGGCAGACAAGTCTCACATTTGGTCCATACAAACACTCATTCATTCGAAGTCATCCATTCAAACACTCATCCATATAAACAATCATCCATTCATAAGCTCATCTTTCAGACTGAAAATATTTTTTACCAATAAAGCATGTTGTTTATATAACATAAACATAACATGAACAATATAGGGAGTTCATGGAGCGATCTGCACCTGGTGGCAAAGGATGGGACAGACTGACATGAGCTGGGTGAAGGCCTTCAGTGATGAAGATAACGTTGCCAGAGTGGCAGCCTCATTTCCATTCCCAGACAAGATACCAAGCCCCCCTACTCTTGGCAGTGACTGCCCTTCAGAATGACAACTGGCAGAAAAATGGATCACTTGCCTGTAGAAGACACTTGATTCTCTCCCCTGGCGTTATGATCGCTGTTGTAAACACGCCAGCCAACATGCCTGCCTTGAAAAGCTGAGGGTACCTGGAAACATCCAAGTGAAAGTATATCAATCTCTTTCCAGTCACCTTGCTTATAATACCTCTCACTTGTGGATGCTTAAAGTCACCATATTTTTATATGAAGAAAAGAATACCAGGAGGAGATATAGATAGCCCATCTAATACCAAAACTACCTACTACTAACTTACTTTAACAAACAATGAGTTAAGAACAGACATCACTACACTCAGGATATTCCAACAAGCACTCAGTCCCTATCTTTAGCAGCCAGTGAAGAGTTCCAATGCGGACGTACAAATCAGGTTGACTATAAGACCATCTGGCCTTTCCTCCGAGTACAGAATGTTGGCCAAATTCCTAGGTCACTGCAGCATTCTTTCAGGACCACAATGATTTACTCACAGTTCTTCATTGTTCACTTGCTTCCAAAGAGTCTTTAACTATATCTAGCTTGTCACACATCAGTTCACTTCAATCTACCTGGCTGTTAATTTCCCAACACACCTGCATTCACTGGGAAAAAAAAGTCTAAAGAAAGTTGAACAGAAAGTCATGATAGAGGTACTATAAAAAGTCTCAAACGATGTACTTACGTCAGTACTTCATCCTCATGCTTTTGCTGCAGCCTCTTGCCAATGCCAAAACCAAGGAAGCACACGGCAAAGATAGGAGCAACCCCAGTGATGGGTGCCGCCATGCCTTTGTACAGTCCAAAGAAACCCTTTAAAAAAAAAAGAACTGACCATTATGTTCTCTCAAGATGTCTTTTGCTTTATCTAAATTAGTATCTGAAATGTCTGTTTTTTTTTAATAAACTCAACAACTAAAAATAAAAAATCCATCTTGATGTGGATCTGAACCCTTGACATGTAAGAATATAGCCACTACACACCCGTAGCTTCCCAAGTGCTTAGTGCTCTATTACAATATAAAGATGGCTCGAGCACCATGTGCCTGCTGCACTAATGGTGTAAAACTTTACTTGTCACTGCTATTAGTTTGTCATGCATTGAGCTATCTTGTTTCTAAAGCGAGGCACACCATTTTAAATGGACAGCCTGGAAAAAGCTATAAATTTGTATATATGTGCCTCCAATGTGTACAGTTTCCCCCTCTTTCTTCTACTTCTGTGTGTGTTGATAATAGCTGTGGGTGTATTAGTCGTGACCAAACATTCTTACCTCTTTTGTAACAGTCTGCATGAGGCAGTCAAAGGTTCCTGTAAACAAGGCTGCTTGACCAGGCAGTGGCTTGGGCATCGTCTGCAACCGCACCTGTCAATCAAACAAACTGGCTAGTCACCTCATTATAAATACAAGTATTGATGCTATTGATGGATACTTTGCTGTGTGGGTTCCAGGGCTCCTTGGGGGGTGGGGGAGAGGAGGATAGACCTATTGCCCCCTCCCCAAACAAGCATGTTACAAAAAAAAGGTGCAGATATCGCAAGCTTTGCTGTAAAAAGATGGGGAGAGCTGCATGATGTCACACTTTCCTGGAACATGTAATTTTGTGACATTAGATTTAACAAATAGACTACTATTTACATGTTTTTATTTTCTGTCTTTGGTTAGCTGTCGGCTGCGAAACAATTTCAAAGGGTGGGCAAAGGGTGTGAAAAGGTTGAGGAACACTGGTCCAAAGGTAGCATGCTTCCCCACTATCATTATATGCAGACCAGGAAACAGCGTTTAGCATGCCTGCCTGTGAGCCTGGTAGTCATGTGATCACATCCCAACCAAGCAGTTAATTTGTGCCAGACATGGGCTCTCACATTCACCCCCCAGGGCAGCCTGCATAATCTGACCACATTAAATTTGCTGTTATGGTTATTACCTTGTGAATTTGCTGTAATGGTTATTACCTTGTGAATTTGCTGTTATGGTTATTACCTTGTGAATTTGCTGTTATGGTTATTACCTTGTGAATTTGCTGTTATGGTTATTAACTTGTGAGCAGGTACCACAATGAAAACATGTTGATGACAGAAACGGGGGTGCTCAGCTCAACAACACTCCCAACTCTCCTCCTACCAGGCAAAAAGTGGGGAGGTGGCGCTAATCCTACTTTAAGAGAATACTAATAATAATGTGATGAAGGTAAATATATATAACAATACAATAATACATTTGCAGGCTTTCCTCTAAATAACGGGCACATATTATGGCGGCCCAAAACACACCCTAACAGGGCCCCAGTCAAATGTAAATTGAGGACTCCCGGCAACTTAAATTGCGGACTTCCGGCGACTACTGTCACTGCTGAGAGTATCTCCCATGCCGCTACGCACACTGTGGAGAGGGCTAAACTAGATGGCTGGGACTCACGAGCAGCAGCTACCGCATCTCCTGCAGCTTCCTTCCTTCATTTATTTGCTCGTGAGTCTCAGCCACCTAGTTTAGCCCCACTCCACGCCGCGCGTAGCGGCGGAAGTCCACAATTTACATGTGACTGAGGCCCTGTTAGGGTGCGTTTTTAATATGTGCCCGTTATTCGGAGGATAGCCTTTTTGCAGTCATATATCAAATAACTGTAAAGAGAATTTATATTCATGGTTGAAGGGGGCTGTTAATCTACTTACAAAATTACTGGACTGGAAAGGGGGGGGGGGGGGGTAACTTCTAGGCAACTGTCAGACAATCTGGCACGCATACAGGTGGGTTGGCACACATATGCCGGGGGTGGAGGTCAGGGTGCTAGCACAGACATAAATGATGTGAAAAGAGGCAGTTAATTTATTTTACATTTCTGCTGACTGACTCATACTAATTGTTACGATAAAATCTCAGTCAAAACAGAAATCTGTGACTCTGAGGTCAAATCACAGTCACGCTCACACACGCGCTACCGCTAAGTAGAATTTTAATTTTTCTTTGCAGTCAATCTTTTTACAGAAAAATCAATAGATACCCTACTTACAAATGTACATAGATGATAGTCTTTCACTATAAATCAGAAGAAAACACTTGGGTGACTGAAAGATCTAAGTTTACAGATACAACATGATTTGAAAGGCCGACTGATTACGTAAGAAAGTTATCACTCAATAGAGAATCATCAGCTGAGCATGGCTGTTTTGGAAGAAGTTTGATCTATAATATAATAAATAAACATGAATCACAATGAGAAGCGGATATAACAGAAGAATGATTCTTACCTTGACAGTGTCCAAAGGGTGGCCTGCAAAAACGGTGCATACTCCTCCAACACCTCCAGCGATAAAATCTTTGGCAGCGCTGGGTTTGGCTTTAGGCATGATGGACCAGAGTTTGGAGAATCAGGCGTGTCGTCGATGTTGTTGGTGGACTGCTGCAAGGGCTGGCAGGAAAGGTAAGCAGGGGACTTGTGCTGCTAGTTTATTAGAGTCACATCCCTTGTCTGATCACAATGTTTTTTTTTCAATTCTTTTTTCCATCTTCTTTCTCATTCTTTCCTCTCTTTTCTTCGTTTTTTTCCCTGCTTCCCTTCTTCGTTTTTCTTTTTATTCTCCTGTTTTTCTCCTCTCCCTTCTTTCACATTTTTTTTGCTCGTCTTTATTCTTCCTCCTCCTCCTTCCCCTCTTCTTCTTCTTCTTCTTCTTCTTCTTCTTCTTCTTCTTCTTCTTCTTCTTCTTCTTCTTCTTCTTCTTCTTCTTCTTCTTCTTCTTCTTCTTCTTCATCATATTCTTCTTTAGGTTTTTTCTGTTCCTCCCCCTATTCCCCTCTTTTTCTCCTACTTCTTTGCCTTTTCTGTTCCTCCTCCTCTTCTTCTTCTTCTTTTTTTTTTTTTTTTTTTACCGCTGTGGGTGGTCGAGGGAGAAAGAAGGTTCTATATTTATAAATACACTGTAAGGTGAATGTAATTTTATTACTCGCCTTGTAGAGTTCCACCAGACAAGTGTAGTGCCTGATTCTGAGTCTCGACAGAATCAACCCTCAGCTACTGGAGGACCTTCTAGACCGTCTTGTAGCTGCAGGAGACGGTGGAGGATAGTGACTGACCAAAACAAATTAGAATTAAAAGAGAACTACTAAAAACAGTCAAGTTTATATCAAGAACTTGTCTAGCGGTGCACATCAGAAGCAATCACAAGAAGAATAAGAAACAGCCTGGCAATAAAACGACAGGACACAAGCCACACTATCAAAACATGAATTAACAGAGAGGACCAGAGAATTGCGATTAACGTGTCTGCCCCCCCCCCCAAAAAAAGAGGGTGAGGGGGTGGTAATTTAAATTATTGATCTCAGTGTTTCTCAGATATGCTTCAAACTGCAGCATACTGATATTGTAATAGAATGAACAGAAAAACATTCTATATATCCCAATTATAATCCAGATGGGTTGAGCAGGATTCTGTTTTAGGTTTAGATGACGGATCAACATCATGGCACAAGTCCGACTCAAGTCCAAAGAATCTCAGCGCAGTGCACAAACTCCGTAGCACCGGCGAGGAATCCTGAAATATTTTTGGTAGATTTGTAACTTCATATTTTGCCCGGGCTGCTCTTTTCGATTTCCAACTGCCAAGAGATTTTTTTACGTGCGCAACAATACACACGGGTGTCCTATCTTACTACCTAGAGACCAGGGAAATTGATTGAAGTCCACGTGAAAAATCCCAGCCTTCACCGGGGCTTGAACCTGGGACCTCCAGCACTCGAGGCAGACCCAGCCCCTATATAGTACTATATAACAACATCATCATGTCATGCCGGTACATCCACACAGGTCTAGTAGTCTAGATTTTCATTCACTGCAGCTTTCCGCTGGCTAGAGAATACCACACACACACATCCACACACACATCGTGATTCTAACGGACTCAGAAAGCATGCTGAGGAAGATCAGGACAGGCATGCTTCGGGTGGGGAGTATTGTCTGGATTTTTTTCACCGGGTACGTCGGTGTGTATGGACATGAACAGGCGGACAGATTGGCTGGCTCTGCATAACTTGGTGCAATACTGATTCATAATAAGGCATACGTGGTTAGTGTCTTGTGGGAGAGCGTGTATAGTTCGCAGGAGCAGATAGATTACCAGTCTGGTGAGATTGATGCAAGGGGGAGTGACGCGAGGTTCTTGCAGATGCTCGAGGCTCAGAGGAAAGGCAAGACGGACGTTTTATCAGAATGCTACTGGCACCATTAATATCAGAACTCTTTGCTAGCTGCTGAAGATGGGGACAGATCGCTTATGGGAATGCCCCGAGTGCTGTGATGTCGGTTCTTGAATCAAAAAAAAAAAATCAAGTGTGCCCTATTTTTAATATTTCTGCGGAACTACACTTTTCAGTTCTTGGTTGGGTATTTTGTGTGTGCTTCTTTCAATTTTTTAATTCACCCCCGCCCCCCCCCCCTTTTTTTTTTATCGTGGTGCCAACACACAGGGCTGAGAATCACTGCAAAGAAATAATTTTAGTTTTTAAATTGTTTCGTACGTCAATTTACTTTTACGTTGTTTTTTGCAAAATATTTGATCCGCAGTTGGACGTCGCTGATTTTATGTTACCTTGTATCCAGGCAAAATGGCGTCTACTTTTCATTTCACGAAGGAGACTCCGCCAGACTCAATGTTTAGCGATTTTCAGGCGCTTAACAAGTTTAAGAAGGAGGTATTAGTTCACGTATGATTTTTGTACAGTCAAGTGTAATTTAAAATTTATTTTTACTGTCAGATTACAAACTACAGCTGACTTTGATCAAGGGGGCGTGGCATGCTGTCTTTCAGTCTTGTGACAAGTTTCTAGTTTCTGATCTGTATTTATGTATTTTGCGACAGATGTGATATTTGACAGTTGTTCTGTAATAATTTCTGAACAAGATTCAGTATTCCCCCTACATATATGATCATATTATAATTATACATACTTTCTTTCATGAAAATAAAAACGTTCCTGGAAGTTAATTAAGTCCCAGTATTTATTGAGTTGAGACTCCCCCCCCCCCCCCCCCCGATGTTGGTGCATTTGGCGGCTATCTTCCGAATAACGGTCCAAAATTATCGATGCCGAAAATATACCTAACAGGGCCTCAGTCACGTGTCGATTAAGGACTCCCAGCGACTTAAATTGCGCACTTCTGCCACCACGGAGAGTATCCCCCACACCGCTCACTCGGTGTGGATTGGGGCTAAACTAGATGGCTGGGACTCACGAGCAGCAGCTACTGCATCTCCTGCAGCTTCTTTATTTTATTTGCTCATGAGTCCCAGCCATCTAGTTTAGCACCAATCCACGCCGCATGAGCAGCGTGGGGGATACTCTCGGCGGTGGCGGAAGTGCACAATTCGAGGGTGGCGGTATAGTCCCTGGAAGTTCGCAATTGACACGTGACTGAGGCCCTGTTAGGGTATATTTTTGGCCTCAATAATTTAGGACCGTTATTCGCAAGATAGCCTATTTGGCATATATGGCTATATGTGATAAGACTAGTATTTTTATAGACCAGCTGGCACTCAGCGGGTGATGTGGTCAACATATGGAAAGCACCCTTTAGCCTTTAATCTCCAGGTCATTTCTTCCTGGTACCTGCTTTAGGTTGGCTTGACCTAAGAACCCCAGATCTGTTACTTCAAAAGCTCTGCCTCGATATGGATTGGCACCCGAGACATGCAGGCAATGAGCTAATCACCGAACTACCCAGTTCCCAGACTACTTGTAGTTCTCTATAAGCAGTCTTTATCTGTAGCCTTAGTTCAGCAATCTTTACCTGCAGACTTTTCAAAAGTAATCTTCACCTGTAACCTCGTGTCAGCAGTCTTAACCTATAGCCTTGTTTAAGAAGTCTTCACATGTGGCCATTTATGACTTATGTCAGCAGTTTGTAACCTGTAATCTTATCTCAACACTTTTTACCTGTAGCCTTAGGTTATCAGTCTTTACCTGTAGCCTTTAGTTTTACACATGTTCTGTTTAGGATGACATTTTCTATGACATATTCTTCCACAGTTATTCGACCAGCTGGTACAGATTGCCTTCCAGTTCTTACTAGAACCCAGTAAGGTAAGGTTCCAACCGATTACAAGAACTTAAACAATGCCAGGATTGTCTCTCCTGTTAACATAGGGGATGCAGTCTAATGTGACTTATTTGTATGCAGACTGTTGGTTCCTTGCCTCTCCGGCATATACACTCCAACTTCAAAGGAAACCCCCAGTTAGTTGACACTTACCACATGCTTGTTGGGGAGGCAGTGGGTCTGTTCTTGTTTTCCCCACAATGAGGCCCTGGAACACACACAGGGAGCATGAAGTAATGTGAAGGCAGTGAAAAGGGGGGGGGGGGGGTTGAAGTATTAGACCTTCAAATATTATAATTAAAATCTGCAATTGCAATGATCAACTTCATTGACCCAGGTTGATTGACTTTATTGCACCGGGTTGATTGACTTTATTACACCAGGTTGATCGACTTCATTGCACCATGTTACACCAGGTTGATCGACTTCATTGCACCATGTTGATCGACTTTATAACAGCGGGTGTAATTCCACATTGCTTGGTCTCTCTCCTCAGAATGGCTATCCGCCTGATGAAAGCGTCACATAAAGCACGATCTACATAACTCTAGCAACGATCTCCATAAAAATTGCTCCTGTGAACTGAATGACGTGGCCGTGAAATAAACCCACGACCTCCAGGGCACTAGAAAAATGGCTAGAGACCTCCAATAAACGCATATTTTATGTGATAGCTTAATGAGGTGGGGTGGGCGGTTCCTTTTCTTTGCTTGGTTAATTTCCTGAAGGCATGCTTCGGAGCCCTCTATCCCAGTGGTAGCAGACTTGTCTTCTGGGCTTCAGAGCCCTCTACCCCAGTGCTAGCAGACCTGTCTTATGGGCTTCGTAGCCCTCTGTCCCAGTGCTAGCAGACTTGTCTTCTGGACTTCGGAGCCCTCTACCCAAGTGCTAGCAGACTTGTCTTCTTGTCCAGTAGCCATGTAACCAGATCCCCCTCTATTGTTGGGTTTTTGTTATGTTTTTGTTATGTTTTAAATCACCAGGAATATTCAGTCAACCCAGTCTACAGTGGTTGGCAGAACATTTTCTGCAAAGTGCTTCTTTACGTTCACCAGCTGTAAACTCTGGGGGAAAGCTCTGGCTGTTTGTACACCTCTGGATTTTAGTCTTGCTCCAGAACCTGAATGTTGTATGTACATCCATTTTACAGATCTGACTTGTTTGTGTGCAGACTGTTTGTTCCACGCCTCTCAGGCAGATGCACTCCAATTTCGAAGGAAGCCCCCTAATGGTTGCCTCTTACGACAAGCTTGTTGGGGAGGCAGTGGGTCTATTCTTGTTTCCCCCAACAATGGGTCCCCAGAACCCACACAGGAATTCTTCAAAGTAAAAGTGGCTGGCATGACATTGACCTCATCACTTAAGTACCAAATGCTCTGTAAAAATATACTGCTAACACCATATACTAAAAATTGCCTTATGACACAGAAGAAATTACTTGACCTGCTTTTAGCTTCAAAATCAGTCAGACTATTTAAATATTTATTTTCTGTAAGCAGCTGCCAATGTTTGAGTTGAGACTACTCGTAATAATGGTTTCATTATCACTTTGTAGAGTGTGCGTTTGATGACCCAACTTGAAGAGTTTGCCGAGGAGAACGGAGTCGTTATTGGTGCTCTGAGGAATGTTTTCAAAAGTTTGGTTTCATTACCTAATTGTATGTGCAGCATTTTTAAATTCAATTAATTTTATTTTTTATTTTTATTCTTGCTATCGCTAAATAGGAGTTCACTTAGAATTATATGTTGTGTCGCCTTACTGCCACCCCAGGGGTTATGTGGTCAAATCCCAGTAAAGGTATGGATTAGTTGGTTGATGATGTGGAAACAATGGGAGATGTCAGAGTGAAAAGAAATTAAAGAGCCAACAGACAGACCATGCCTGCAGTGGTTGGTGGAGGAAAAAGTTCGGACACGGCAGACATTGAATTTGTTGCATTCCAGAGACGCTGAGACAAAGAGGTCAGCGATAATGAACAACCTGCTGGAAATGTTTATTAAATGCGGTCAAGTATGTGGAAGCTGGTTCTGTTAACAAGTATTAGTCAATTGTGTCATTGCTTGGTTAACAAGTATTGGTTGATTGTGTCATTGCTTGGTTAACAAGTATTGGTTGATTGTGTCATTGCTTGGTTAACAAGTATTGGTTGATTGTGTCATTGCTTGGTTAACAAGTATTGGTTGATTGTTTCATTGCTTGGTTAACAAGTATTGGTTGATTGTGTCATTGCTTAGTTAACAAGTATTGGTTGATTGTGTCATTGCTTGGTTAACAAGTATTGGTTGATTGTGTCATCGCTTAGTTAACAAGTATTGGTTGATTGTGTCATTGCTTGGTTAACAAGTATTGGTTGATTGTGTCATTGCTTGGTTAACAAGTATTGGTTGATTGTGTCATTGCTTAGTTAACAAGTATTGGTTGATTGTGTCATTGCTTGGTTACTTTATTTGTGAATCCTTTTTGAATCCTGTTTAAACCCCTGTCTGCTTCATAGTTGTAAGGTTACCTGAGCTCTGAAAATGGATGACAACTATCTCCATGAGGTTGGTATAGAAATTTTCATTTCTATGCTGACTGTATTACATAGCCTTCCTTCCTATCTCCAAGTGTAGAAATCAGTTGGGCATGCAAAACTGGTGCTATAACTTTGAGAAGCATATTAGTGTGAGGTTTGGTCATGATTCAGCACAGAACATACAGACTGGCTCTCATTAGACCAGTATCAGACTAGGTCATGATTCAGCACAGAACATACAGACTGGCTCTCATTAGACCAGTATCAGACTAGGTCATGATTCAGCACAGAACATACAGACTGGCTCTCATTAGACCAGTATCAGACTGTGTCATGATTCAGCACAGAACATACAGACTGACTTTCATTAGACCAGTATCAGACTGGGTCATGATTCAGCACTGAACATACAGACTGGCTCTCATTAGACCAGTATCAGACTAGGTCATAATTCAGCACAGAACATACAGACTGACTTTCATTAGACCAGTATCAGACTAGGTCATGATTCAGCACAGAACATACAGACTGGCTCTCATTAGACCAGTATCAGACTAGGTCATGATTCAGCACAGAACATACAGACTGGCTCTCATTAGACCAGTATCAGACTGGGTCATGATTCAGCACAGAACATACAGACTGGCTCTCATTAGACCAGTATCAGACTGGGTTATGATTCAGCACAGAACATATAGACTGGCTTTCATTAGACCAGTATCAGACTGTGTCATGATTCAGCACAGAACATACAGACTGGCTCTCATTAGACCAGTATCAGACTGTGTCATGATTCAGCACAGAACATATAGACTGGCTTTCATTAGACCAGTATCAGACTGGGTTATGATTCAGCACAGAACATACAGACTGGCTCTCATTAGACCAGTATCAAACTAGGTCATAATTCAGCACAGAACATACAGACTGGCTCTCATTAGACCGTCATCAAACTGGGTCATGCCAACAAGCCTTTTAAGACGGAACGCAGAATTAAAGAAGAAGACTAGCATGAAATCAGGTCATGCTTTAGCAAGCTCATATCTTTTTATTCTTCCCTTTCTCTTTTACTGCTTCATATGCCGGGGGAGATACAATTTCTGCTTCTTGCTGTTCTGGCCACTTTGACCATACACACATCATGTTGTTGTAGAGTTTCTCTGATGTTATCTTATTTTCATCTTGTTCTCTACATCCTTCTTCTCTTTTGGTGTAGGCCTTTTGTTGTATGATGTCAAAAAGCATTCTTTATAAGTGCCTTTATATGCAATTTATATTCAATTACCTGCCAACTTTTTTCTTATGACCTCATTTCTGAATGTATCTCTTCTAGTGATTTCTATAGCACTCCTCATACATCTAATTTTTATGGTTACTAATTTTACTGGTTGATATACTCTATAATTTGTTTTATCTAGAAACATTCTGTTCTAACATATTTATTATCTCCACTTACAGCCGCACTCAAGAAAAGTCTCAGTGCAGCCCAGCTTCAGGAAGACCTGCAAACATTAGGTACGGCTGAAACCCCTGTGTCTCCTGTACTATCCTCACTCTCAGGACCTTTTCTAGAAAACAAAGGTGCTGGTACTCACCACAAAGGGACTTAAAAATTGTGAGGGTATTTACCAAAAAGTGTGTAAAAAAAATTATTATACTGACCAGAAAGAATCTACAGTAGCACTGAAAAAAGTGTCTTAAAAACGGTTCATGAACTGCGTACTGGCAGAAATCAAGCCCTGCTTACCTGTATGGAGTTTTTGTGTGTGCAATGATGTTGATAAACTGTCTTCACATCTTCAGAACTGTCTTTACTCCTATACATAATTTTCTGTTGTGTTGATTAAATCTCTTCATGTTTAAAGTACATTTTCAAGTCATTGGTACTCTCTGTATATCTTCAGAACTGTCTGTACTCCTATACATGTTTCTGTTGTGTGATGATGTTACTTTATTCTTTTCATGTTTCCAGTACTATTTTCAGGTCTTAAATATTATCTCTATGCCTCGAATACTTTCTTTAATCCTGTACATAACTTTGCTTAGTATGATCATTTTGTCCATAAACTGTTTCATGAAGGTATGTGCTCCACTAAAAAATGAAATGTAGACAAAACAGGAAAGCTCCAGACATATAGGAGCTCTGATCTGTCAGCCACAGATAATTGAATGTGCTCTGAATGACTTATTCAGTTTGATGTTGATTGATGAGAAGAACCTGTTGAACTATATCAAGTGATGCTGTTTTCTGGCCACTAAAATCTTAATTTGGAATCATGTATTACTGCTGTTGTTGATATGCACAAAATAACTGATTCAGTTTGGTCTTGATTAATGAGTGGATACACTGATGGTTCTGTTCATCAGGGTGAAAGATCTGGCTGGGGATTTTCAGCTAGATAGAAGTTAGAGATTGTGGCAGAACAAAATGGAGCTTTTTTTTATCTAAAACTTCAAGCATGAGGATGGAGATGGAGGCAGTCACTGCAGCTCTGAGGTGGATAGCAGGAAATAGAGTTACTAGAGGAATGATTGTGTCTGATTCTCAGTCGGTACTGCGATAGGTTCAGAATGGACTAATGTGGCATAAGTGGATACTAAACATCAGCACCTCAACATTACAGCAAATCACGTGGAAATACTATCCGGGATATGCATGAGTGTGAGGGAATGAAAGAGTGGATCTTTTGGCTACAAAGGTGATAGCTGCGGGACTCACATACTTTTACAAGAGAGACTCTATGAAGACCATTTATGAACATATGCTGATAGAAGACATGAGAGATGAAATAACATGTGTAAAAATGTATAAATGAGGAATTAAGTGTGGATCTGGCAAGGAGGGAGGTATGAGAGGAAGAGAACAGTGTATGTATTATCAGTGTGCTTCTGGAACAGTTAGCATCTACACCTTAAGACATATGCTGCGGGAAATGGAGCATCTGTGGGTATGTCGGGTGTGCTGTGATTTCGATTCTTGAATCAGTGATCAGTTGACGAGGAGAGCCTGCTAAATTGCACCTAGTGATGCTTTTTCTGGCCACTAAAATCTTCAATTTGAAATCTTATATTGTAGCAGTTGTTGATATGTTGTCTGAAGAAAATCCTAGTGGTGGTAGTGGTAGTTGTTAGTTGTGAGGATGATGATGATGTTGCGTGTGGAGTGCAGACAAGTAGATGGATAATAAGGTCTAAACATGAGAACACATAAGATGATACGTGTTTCAGGACTGTCCGAGGACAAGTCACAAGCTTTGGTCAGCCAGTATGAAGCCAACCTGGCTGCATTGTCTCGAGGGGCTCTAGGCCAGACCCTGATGGTCAACCAGCTAGTGGATATAGAATGGAAGTTTGGAGGTTTGATTCTTTTCTTTCTTTCTTTTTTTTTTTTTTTTCTTTCTTACCCTGTGTTCTACTTTTTTTTTTTTTCTTTCTTTCTTACCCTGTGTTCTACTTTTTTTTTTTTTCTTTCTTTCTTACCCTGTGTTCTACTTTTTTTTTTTTTCTTTCTTTCTTACCCTGTGTTCTACTTTTTTTTTTTTTCTTTGCAAAAATCTGTCGCTATAAATTTTTTTCTTCTGGTTTTGAAATCTTTTTTTTTCTGTCTGTTTTTCTGTTTTATTCCTTCATATGTTTAGAGATATGCAGTAGACATACAGCCTGACATAGAGTCACATAATGTTTGTAATCTCTGGAAAGCCACTGTTGACAACAGTTCAAAGACAAATAAGATGGCACTATACCAGACACATCTTGAGAAAAAATGAGCAGAGAATAACCAAACAGGCACTAAATGGAAAATAAAGGGATTGGGAAGTGAGAATGACCAAAAGAAATTATTAAGCAAACGTTGATTAGAGAGGCCAAAGATGCCGGATTTCATCTGTGATATGTGTTTGGGATCCTGTGTGTATGAGAGCAAAAAACCATGGATGTCTACCAGAACAGTTACTATTAAACTACAAGATTTATTTACATTCATGTGCCTATTCAGAATAGAGGGAATTAAAGGGTATGACAGAATCACTGATGTGGAGCTTTGGAACTAAACAAAATCCAGTGTATCAAGGAAGACCCTGGTGTTGGATAGGACACACAGTGAGAAAACATGTTACTATAATGTCTTTGGAACCCACAGAGTCAAAAGGGATAAAGGCAGACCAAAGAATACACAGGGATGGGAATTCGAGGTTGAAGTTAATGTGATGGGGAGAACCTGAGATAAGCTGCATGAGATGGTGAAGGATATGATGACTCGTTCTGAGCTGGCTGAGGGCCTATGCTCCATTGGGGGATAAAGGGCAGAAGAAGAATTGAGGGGGAGAATGAACAAACATTAAAAAAAAAATTTTGTCAGATGGTAACAATTGGCACACAGACCCAGCTAACATTTCTAACATTCCCCTTTTAATTTCCCTCCCTTTAGACATCATTTCATTCATACATCTGTTAACAAGTAAACATTATCAACAGCAGTCAGATAATAAATACAAGGACCAGAATGTACTCAAATTATACCTACGTTTCTAACTGCAGCAAACCATTGTAATAGATCTGGGGTGGGGGGGGGGGGGGGGGAAGACTGACGGAGTCAGAGGTTTCAGAGGTTTGTATCAGGCAAGTTGTATCTGATAAATTTGTCTATTCCAGTGACAGCATCCAGCAGTGAGCTTGACAAAGTTGGAAACACATTTCTCCAGGTTTGGCATTTTTCATTTCTTTTTTTCTGGAATCTTCTAGTCACACCTTGATCTGGGGACAGTAAGGGTGAGAGTTATTTCTTTTTTTTTTTTTTTATAGACGAATGTAAATTTTACTTAGGTTAGCCTTTGATCATGTCCAAATTTCTTGGTGTTCACACTTGTGTGGTTGGATCTTTTTATTTTATAATTGTTTATTATGTTCGCTTTCATTAGCCTTGTTAAGGTAATCATTGTTAAACAATCTAGCTGTACAAATTATTTAGAACATTTGTTTCAAAAATCACATCTGTGTGTGCCTGAAAGTAAAGAAAGTAAAGATCCCTTTTCACGCCTTTCGGCGCATCGGGCATATGGGCAGAGCGTCCCATATTTTACAGAGCATCAGCACTCTGTGGGTAATGTGGTCAGCATTACGCCGGCTGTCTTTACTTTCCCAGGACAGCCCATCCTGGTACCCATTTTAGGCTGGGTCGACCTGCGACGTCCCATACCATGACAAAAATCCACGCAGCCTGCAGTGGGTTTCGATCGCGGTATGCTGGCTTACGAGTCAGACTCGCAACGCCTTAGCCACGGACGCCGCACGTGTGTGCCTGATCTCTTCCAAATTTGTTTGTTAACATGAAGGAGAAATTAAATCTCTGGCAGATAATGAGGTTCTGTCTGGATGTTAGTCATAATGATGTGGTGTAGATGGTGTTGCAGATAGATGAACTTGAAGAGTGTGTGTTTGTTAACATGAAGGAGAAATTAAATCTCTGGCAGATAATGAGGTTCTGTCTGGATGTTAAAGTCATGATGATGTGGTGTAGATGGTGTTGCAGATAGATGAACTTGAAGAGTATGTGTTTGTACCTTTGTGTTTCAGCTGAAACTCGTCATCAACACAGGCAATGGGACCAAAAATGTTTTCTTGGGTAAGTAACTTTTACGCTAGCTCCCCGTTTGGTTTTTCACATTCCCTACATGGGTTCCACTGCCCAGTTTTCTGGGGGGAAAAAATAGACCCACTGCCTTCTGGCAAGCATGTTGTAAGCCTCTTCTTCTTCTTCTTCTTCTTTCGTTCGCTTCAGATGGATTATCCCAATCTGCAATGTTGTCTCTAAAATGAACTTTACTGTCTTTTGTAATTTACTCAGCGATCCTTAAGGTATGACTTGCCTGATGTTTCTCTTGGCCACAAGTTTTGCCTCGATATGTTGTATTCGAGACAGTCTTGGAGGACATGACCTTGTGTCTCAGATGCCAGTCCACATGTTGCAAGCGACTTATTGGGACTTAACATAAATCTGATATTTTAGGGCAAAAGGCGCATTTGTTAAAGCTTGGCTGCAAACCATCACACAACATGCCAACCATCTTTTTAATGGTGAAAACTGAAATTAAAAGGTTTTCCATTCAGCTGTCAGAGACTACTCACTTTAGCTGTGCATAGTAATAAAGTTATCAGCTCCTCAAAATGTGTGTGTAACAGACTTCCTGAAGTAAGGAATTAAAGAAATACAGTAGGACCTCAATCAACTGGCTAATGAATATCAGGACTCAATTTAATCTGGTCTAGTTTCTAAAAACAAAAACAAAATGTATCTATCAAGGACTTTCACAAGAACTTACAAATGGTAAATTTTGACTCTAATCTCAGGCTGACCTTTTCACATTTGTGTGATTGATTATCCTTTAACAGTTTTTTTTAAAAGTTCAGATAATTTTTTTGTAAGTAAACCTACATTTTGCATTATTGTTTTGTTCATTTTAAATGTGTGTACATTCATACTGTACAGTGTGTATGATTTTATTTTCCTGCAGTTAAGTTAGACGTTATGAATTGTACCTTGAAACGTGAACAGTATTTTTTTTTTATTTTAGACTTCCCTTTTCCATAATAAATGCTTAAAACGTACACATACAGTACTGTACATAAGAACAATTTATAAAGTATTGGCCTGTACTGAGAGGAAAGAAAACATGACTAGGAGCAGCTTTGGTAAAAAAAATGGTGTTTCTAATAATATGGGTGGGATAAAGACTGAGTTTTTTTTTTTAAACTTCTGCATATACAGCATTTTTTTTTGTTTTGTTACCTTGTCTGCCATTCTGCCACTTTTGGCTAGGTATTGCAGTGTCTTCAGTACCTGCTTAATGTGAGGGTGAGGAGAGAGAGTTTACAGAAGTAACTGAATAATAATGAGGTAAAGGTTTAAGTGAGAAGTTAAATAACTTTGAACGAGAAACAGTTAAGAAAATAACTGACAGATATTGAGTTCGGTAACCATGACATGAAAAAATGTAAATGATGTCACAGAAAAAATGATTTCACAGTGTATGTTTTAGCGGTCTTAATAATTATTGGTATTAAAATACATTTTCACTTTGTATGTGTTACAGTTATTATTTTTTTTTAATATTTGCACGTTCCGTTCCTTTTCATGTTTGAAAACTAGTTGTCTGTAATGATTTTCTTTTTGTTGATACATTTCAGAGCTGACATTGCCCCAGTTTTACTCCTTTCTGCATGAGATGGAAAAGGCAAAAGCAAGTCTAGAATATCTAGGATGATGCTTGGCAGTTAGAGTTATGACATGTTTGTTGTAAATACAGTTTTGTTTACAGATTTCTATGGTTGCCTTTAAACGTTATTGCCAGACCAGTGTTTCATAACAAGTGTAAGTTAGAAAATAAGTTTTTCTGTTTATGTATAAGTCATCTTTTGCACATAGTGAGGTGGCTTTTTACTAACAGGACGTTCAAACTTTGCTTGCTGTGTGGATGCACAGATCAAGCCTCAGTTCAGCCATTTTCTTGAACAAGGCAGTGCGCTGATGGCTGTTATGCTATGTGAGGTACAATTACATTCAGTTATTCGGTTTCCGTCGGCAGATGCAGCAGCCTCTATTAAAATTCTTTTTAAATGTGAATCTTTTTGTCGACCAGTTGTGATGTGTGGATCAGATGTGATGTGTGGATCAGATGTGATGTGTGGATCAGATGTGATGTGTGGATCAGATGTGATGTGAGGATCAGATGTGATGTGTGGATCAGATGTGATGTGTGGATCAGATGTGATGTGTGGATCAGATGTGATGTGTGGATCAGATGTGATGTGTGGATCATATGTGATGTGTGGATCAGATGTGATGTGAAGATCAGATGTGATGTGTGGATCAGATGTGATGTGTGGATCAGATGTGATGTGAAGATCAGATGTGATGTGTGGATCAGATGTGATGTGTGGATCAGATGTGATGACTGTGTTGTGTGTGAAATCAGCTCGTCAAGTCTGATTATTGTGATAGCTAAATAGTAAGAGTGGGCATCCTTCTATTTTAGTAGATCTTGCAACTGAAGAAAGTGTGCATTCTGATCACTGCACCAGACAGGAGGAATTGTGTTGAAGATATTGTCAGCCAAACAGACTCAGAAAACAATCAGAACGTTCTCCAGTGGATCCCGCCCACTGTGGCATACCAGGAAATGAGTTAGCAGACAGACTTGCTAAAAATGGAACAAAGGAGAAACAACACACCCATCCATTATCGTTACCAGAAATCAGAACACTTATCAAGGGAAAATACAAGGAATTGTGGAGAGAACAAACTTACAGTAAATATCCACAAGACCCCCATCAGCAAACTCAACAGAAAACAACGTATACAAATTTTCCCTCTACGAACAGGATACTGCAGACTCAGCTACCAGATGCATAAAATAAAGATTGTAAAGTCCCCACAGTGTGCCTGTCAAGCAGGACCACAAACACATGAGCACATTCTGCAGACCTGCCCACTGTACATACAACTTTGAAAAGACACCTGGCCCCAAGAGCAAAGTGTGCAGAGCAAGCTGTGGGGAACCATGGAGGACCTGCTACTGACATGCAAGTTCATAGAGGCGACCCACCCGATGGTCTGATCTGAGCATATGAAATCAAACACAAAGAAGAAGAAGTAAAGATATATCCTCTTGTAAAGACACACAGCACCATCAGTTAAAATAAGGTATTAAATGTATGATAGTTTTGAAGCGAATTGTCTGCTTGCCTATGTATTATTCTAGTTTATACAGTTTTAAGTCATGAAAACGAAATTTCTTTCTTCTCAAAAAGAATTATAATGCACTTTTATTTGATGTGTGTGTGTTTTTGTGTGTTTTTTTTTAATGTTTTTTTATTATCATTACTTGTTGTTTTGTCTTAATGTAATAATGGAATCAGTATACATTGTTTCTATTAGACAATGTTTCTGTTGGACAGTGTTTCTGTTGGACAGTGTTTCTGTTGGGCAGTGTTTCTATTGGACAGTGTTTCTATTGGACAGTGTTTCTGTTGGACACTGTTTCTGTTGGGCAGTGTTTCTTTTGGACAGTGTTTCTATTGGACAGTGTTTCTGTTGGACACTGTTTCTGTTGGGCAGTGTTTCTATTGGGCAGTGTTTCTGTTGGACAATGTTTCTGTTGGACAGTGTTTCTGTTGGACAATGTTTCTGTTAGACAGTGTTTATGTTGGGCAGTGTTTCTTTCTGTTGGGCAGTGTTTCTGTTGGGCAGAATCATCTCACAAGAGTTTCACACAAAGCATGACCTCCATAGCTCTAGCGACTATTCCTAAGAATGTCCATAAAAAATGCTAATTGGAGCTGAATAATGCAGTCAGGGAAAAGAACCTAGTACCTTCAAAATGTGATGAAAACCTGTCCACTCATATGGAAAGACAGCTGAGTTTAACGGACTTCATGAGATCAAATCTAAATCAGATATTTATAAATCACAGAAGAGGAGAATTAACTGATATAGCATCTCTACAAGTGTGGAAGTGCTCCACTTTGCCGACCATATAAATGTAGGGATCAGATTTGTTGTTCCCCCTTGAGATGGCATTTCCTGGCCTAGTTTGGTGAGAAGGGAGATTATCTGATAGGAGATATGACTGGATTATCAAAATTGAACTAGTAACATTGACAGTACAGCTGAAATAATAGCTCCAAACGAAGATAGGTAAGGGACAGTAAATGTCACAGAAGTGTGTCTCTACTGTTACACATTTTTTTGTGTGGAAAGGCTCTTTATTTTGTTATATTAATATCATGGTCCTAATATAACAGTCATTGTCAACCTAGGAGGTGCAAGGATGTAGGCAGTTTTGATATTATATAACATTTCTTTTTCAGTTTAATTCTGAATAAGATATTAACAGTCACGAAAATAAAACAGTATTGCGAGCTTGATGTAGAGAGTGATGTCCGTTGTGCCTTGTCCAACATCGGAGCAAACGTAGCAGATGTCATCAAGACAAAACAGTGTCAACCGTCACATCAATACACGACAAGGCAAATGTTGTCAAGGCCCTTTGGGAACAAGCAACGGAATCAGTAGAGAAAGAAGATTATTATGGCCTGGAGAGAATGAGGCACCTGGGTGTAACCAGAGGGTCTGGCTCGCTCACTACACTCAGAGAAAAGGCAAGACGGACATTTAACCAGATTGTGATGGTACCATCAATATTGGAACTCTGCACTGGCTGCTGAAGATGAAGTTGGAGCATGCATGGGAATACCCTGAGTGCTGTGGTGTCAATTCTTGACTCAACTCAACCCATCACATTGATGTTTGGATGCTAAATTGACTATTTTTTGTGTATGATTGTTTCTTTTTTTTATTTGACACTTTGATTTATGTAAATCTTGTTCTTGAAGTTATTATTAATAATTCTAGTGATTTTTCTTTTTGTCTTTCCCCTTTTAACAACATTTTTTTTAAAGCGGGCTTGGTGACCTTTCAGCACATTCAGGGAAATTGGGGGTGGGGGGGGGCATGGGGGAAAAGTTTCAAAACGCTATATTCAAGTCTGAAGTGTTTTTTCCAGTCTTAAGTTCTATCTGCCTGTTTGCACATGGATTTACCTGCCTGTTCAACCCATGGCCACATTGAACTGCAGGGTACATGGAGTGTTAGTAGTGCCCCAATATAAACTGTTTTTCAGCTGAACGGGTTTTCAGGTATTTGCTCCTGTCTGATTCTCATCCTTGAGGTGTGAAATCCTCTGGATGGCAGTCTTGAAGGAGAGCAATGACCACCACCATATGTCTGTTGCTACTCCTTACCCGCACAGGACTGAAAGTTATACAAACCTGGTGTAGCCATTATCTTCTTCTTCTAAATGTCCATGCGGTGTGGTGTAGGTATTCATGTTTGTCCACAACCTTCTGTCTCTTGTACTTTCAGTTAACTCTGATAAAGATGATCCTACATGCCATGATGCCAGAATGTCCAACATCTGTTCTCTCAACTTTCTCTGCCTTCCTTTCCCTCTTAACTTTCCTACGGTCACGATGTACTCCAGTTTTCTCCTTCTCATCACATGACCAAAGAATGTAGACTGTCTCTTCCTGATGTGGACAATCAGTTCTCTTTGTGAGTCAGCTCCAGTAGCTATTATGCATGTCCTAATTATAACACCTTTGGAGGTTGAACAGGTATCGGCGACCAGGTCATCCATTAGCTCGCCGGTAGATGACTTCATCGCCGGTGTGGACAATATTTCAGTCTTGTCTCCCTTGATTTCATCAGCAGCACTGTGGGAGTCCTTTTTAGGGCTCTTTGTGTCATGAAGTGCTAAGCCATTTTATATAGCACACATAGCCTAGTCACAGTTATAACCTAAAGCTTCCCTTTCATGGATGCTGGTAGAACATGACAATTTTGTTCTTTTTTTAGCAACACACCACCACCAAATTGAACAGGATGTCTTGAATTTGCCTTGTTGGTCTGCCGCCTAGGATAAGGCTTTTGAAGCCTTTAGGGTGTTCCGACCTGCAGGTAGGAAATGGGGAAAAAAGATCTGTTTATTAAAAAAAAAAAAAAAAGTAACAAACACCTACAACCATCTGAAAGCTGGTAGCTTCATATAGCTGTAAGGGGCTCCAGTGTAACTGTTTTATACCTTTCAATGGGGTATACCATATTACAGCATAAGACAGTCACAGTCAGCATGAAAAAACATTTCATACAAAGCATATTTATTCCCACTCTAGGCTACCAGTGCCAGACATGGTCACTGACAACCAACAATAAAAGAAAATTAGAAACCACCAAATGAGATGTCTGAGAAGGGCTGCAGGAGTAAACGGAAGAGGTAAAAATCAGGATGAGGTTATAAGAGAAAAGGTTGGTACAGAACCGATTCTAAATCACACACAAAGACAGTTGATCAAATGGTTAGCCCACTTAGAGAGAATGCGTTGTGACGCCGTACTCTGCAAGGCATACACCAAAATAGGACGTAGAGCAGAAAGTAGAACAAGATGGACAGATCATATCAGAGAAATTCTTCAACAGCACCATGTGTCTAAGGTCGATGCAGCATGAAGTAAAACCGTATATTCGCCTTGACACTTAAATCTGTAAAGAGGAAGTGAAGAAAGGAGTATATGGAAATTGTTTGTGGTGCTTGCTTCAGTTTGCACCAAACTGATGACCTTGATCTGGTGCTCGTCTTATGATGATTGGCACCTGTCCGTTTTTCCAGACGATATTGTTATATTGCGCTTTGAGATGGCATGGGAC